CGCTAATTGAACCTCTTATCTCATGCACAGTGGCACCATGACAGAACAGCACACGACAAAACAGCACGCGACAAAACAGCACGGTCAAAACAGCACGCGTCAAAACAGCACAGCGTCAAAACAGCACGACGACAAAACAGCACGCGTCAAAATAGCATGCGACAAAACAGCACAACGTCAAAACGGCACAGCGACAGAAGAGCACGTGCCAAAACAGCACAACGTCAAAACAGCACAGCGTCAAAACAGCACGGTCTCAAAACAGCACGGTCTTAAAACAGGACATCGACAATATAGCTGGGTTTGGCATTTTCAGTTTTTATTATTTCTAAATTCGACTTACCTTTTTCGGTTTTTATTCGAAACAAATTTTCGGTTTATTGCTGTGTATATTTGTAGACTCATAAACTTCTCGGTTCTTTTCGGTTTATTGACGAAAACCAGTATACTGCCGAAAATGCAGTCTTTAAAAGCGTTTGTTTGAAATGTATAGTGAATAAACCAGGTATTGATTTTCTTAATTATTTCTGTCTGTGGCAGCCGACGTGACCTGTTCTGCAAGGCGCACGGGACCCTATCGTGATCTGATATTATCGTCATGTGTTTTCGTTTGTACGTACACTGGACGAACATGAGCTTCACTACCACTTCGGTCGGAGAGCCAAATTTCAAGATCCAGAAATTTGCAAGCATTGTACTTAGTGCGTTTTTTCCCCATTTTCGCGACTGGGAGGGGTGGCAAATTCGCGCCGACCACAGAAACGACAATAAAGCAATCGTATGCATGCCCTCCTCTAGTAGACGGAAGCTATAGAGCTGTTAAAAATGTGGGGCATTTATGGACGTTCTTGATTTTCATTGTTCAGTTCACGATGAAACTCTCTTCTTTGAACAAAGAATTCGCAACACAACTCCCTATCAGGTGAAGGACCCAGGATTCGGTCTGAAGACCCCTGGGCCCCCGGAGCTTTTGTTGAACATTGAACCGATCTCGGAGACAAGCTGAAAACTGCCAAAGGAAGTGACATACGGTCAGTAATGCCTCTCTGCCTCTCCGAACTTCCTCGCAAATACTGACCTTTTTCAATTAAAACCAAATTTGATAAAAAAGAATTCGGCGTACTTTTACCGGTTTTATTCGGTTTAAGCCGAAAACGCTGAACCCTAAATATAGCGTATGTAGTGAAAAAATAATGTATATCTCAAAGTAGGCACTGTAAAATAATGGAGGGTCAAGGCCAATTCGTCGAAAGCCAACTCGTCGACGGCCAATTCGTCAAATCCGTTTTCTTGGGAGCAAGTTCGGGGTGGGGAGTATACTCGGTGGGCACATGAAGGCTCCCTGGACAGTACCGAAGCCTTTACTTGTGCGTATTCTGGCTATTTTTCGAGCAGTTCTGCTAATTTTGACGCGCAAGTTTGCTGGCAATGTCGTCTACAAAAAAAAAATAATAATAACGAATTAATTGGACGGGTTAGTGTTGTCGTTAGTTGTTAAAAAACAACAACAACAGAAAGCGTGTGCGGCAACAGTGTGCTCAGCCCATGCTGTACGGCAGCAGTATTGAGGCTGAGGCATGTTTCTGCTTTACCGGTTTTCACTCGATCGAGGCCTTCGTCGGAAATAATCTGTAAATTTAATTTAAAACGACTTCTCGCCTGCAAGCTGCAGCCGCGTGTTTCCCGGACATTTTATTCACAGCGAATGAACCACGCAGAATCGGTGCCAATGGTACACCTTGAATACGCTCGACATTAAAGTCACCTTATCTTACCGGTTCTAACAATGCATCTGTAATCAACGCATCTCCCGCTTCTTTTTTTTTTTTTGGGGGGGGGGGGGGGGGGGGGGGGACGCGGTGGGGGGGGGGGGGGGGAGGCGTTTTACGCTTAGGTGGTAATTACGAAACGGCGAGTACTACGGAACCTCACCGGACCGCCGCAAACAAGACGGTTCATAACTTGAACTTATGGATTTCTTGTTCCTAATAACTTTTCCGCTTTCGCTGGTCCTACAAAAAAAGACCAGACAACGCGGCCAACATCGACGCGAAGATATATAACCTCTAACTATACCCAATCTCTTCAAGTATGCCTCCCTCCTTTATAACCTATAGCACCAAAAAATGAAAGGGTCAAGGAGGTTCAAAGTTATTCGTGCAGAGAGAGAGGTGAAGAGCGCGCTCGAAGTTGCTACATACGTGCTGTTTTGTCGCTGTGCTGTTTTGACGCCGTGCTGTTTTGACGCCGTGCTGTTTTGGGGCGTGCTCTTTTGTCGACGTGCTGTTTTGACGCTGTGCTGTTTTGTCGCGTGCTATTTTGACGCGTGCTGTTTTGTCGCCGTGCTGTTTTGACGCTGTGCTGTTTTGACGCGTGCTGTTTTGACCATGCTGTTTTGTCGCGTGCTGTTTTGTCGTGTGCTGTTCTGTCGCGTTCCCATGCACAGTACCCCATTACAAAAATATAGTTCAGGCTGCATCTCTTCTTTCTAACCCCTCACCAGTTCATATCTATTATTATTCCGCAGTCCACTTTTTTATGATCACTGTACGTGTATAATTCCAGTTGGGACAGTCGCTGTAAAAAAAGTGAATGCAAGCAATATTCTTTTCTATGTTCATTCAATTCCATAATTGTTCGTTATCCAGCTAGTTTGCAATGGAAATTATGTTGTAAATTATTTAAGGAGGCTATGCACAGCATCATACGCGCACAAGAGAAACCTGTCGACAACGGCAACGGCGAGTTAAGCGTATACAGCTATAGTCATGTGTACTATGCACACTCCAAGATGGCGGCAAAAATATGACTGAATTTGAGTGCTGTAGAGAAATTTAGGTACCCTGCAAACCTATTCAATAAATACTGAAACAACTCGAATGTCGCTCAGATACGCCACTATAGTACGCGATAGATCAGACTCGGTTGCATGTTAGATTTTCGCGCTTCTTACAACGAAGTGGTCTGTACAACGATAGTTTTGGTCGGTCCTTCGAATTTCCTTATAAAGGTGTTTAACTCTATTTTATGAAGTTACAATTCGCATGCCTTCAGAGAAAATCCTCAATTGCACACTGCTTTGTATAATGTCTCATCTATTGTTTTTCTTACTGTAAATTAGTATTTAAATCCCTGCTTTCGTTATTCATTCTGCAATAAAAAAAAAGAATGTGCCTGTATAATGTATCTACCACTGTTTGCTGTTAGTGCGTGTAACAGTATCATTGTAGTTTCTCTTCAACCAATATTTTCTACTGTAACAAGAGTAACATGTTCGACAGCCCTAACGATTCGGGAGCGCACGTGAGTAGCAAAATTATTTCTCAGTCCTTGATGTGCAAAATAATATTTGACAAGCATTCGCAACAAACAGCACGCTTGTATTATATTACCACCACGTTTAGCATAATTTATGCTCATATGAAATGTATGAGGTGCCAACTTTATTCTGCTTATTATTTGAGTGAATACATTAGAATTGAACATATGTTTAGATAGTAACGCAATCTCTTTTTGTATATTATGTATGTGACCCAATCGCACTCTTCAGGAATTTACACATAAATGAACCATGCCAAAAACGGCCTATGCATCCGGAATAAAGATTGCAAAGCAAAAGTCTCCCAAACAGAAGCTGAACTCATGGCATCGTGTTTATACTTCGTTTCAGCTTCCGTCCGAGCGCAGCCAAAGCTACGTGTGGCCGGAGCCAATCACACGCTTGCAAAAGGTCACGCGATCTCGCCTGCACTTTTGTATCACTCCGCAGCTCCGCTGGTCGTCCGCGCCGCCCTCGCTCGCCGAGTATTTCGTCTGCTACAGGTTTAAAAAGTGCCCTTTCACGTTCTGAAATTTAGTCACAGGGGATGTCAGTTGGCACCTGACGTCTGTGTCCGAGCTTTCCACCTGTTCGGCATAGTTTCGAGATGCAAACGTTGCAAGGTGCCCGATGACTCGGCCGTTGATGTTTCCTTGTAATGTCTGCATATATCAGGGTTCGAAACGCAGTCATTTCCACCAGCTTCTCGGCGTTCAGTGGGATCGGCAGGTAAAGGGGTGCCCTGATTTTTTTCGGGTATCAGTGAATTGTAGTGACCCGGACGCTTTTCTTGTTTACAACGCATTCGCGGTACGACGCGGCCCGAGTCTCCTGCCGAATTTGAAAGTAGACATTCATCACGACCTCTAGCACCTGACGCCCAAACGTGCCTTTGCGAAAATACATTTTGAAGCGACTCGGTGAGAAAAGCAAAGAAGCGCGTGATTCGGCCATCACGGGAATGAAATCACACACAAAAAAACGAGCGCTGCAGCCGTGTTGTAAGCAGAAGCTTGTTTTCAGCAAACCACATGCATTTACACATATTAGTACTAATAAACACATAAACTTCAGATATTTTATTTATTTAGTTTCGAATTATTTTCAGCAGTACACATCTAGAATACTGTTCTATCAATACACACAAAACAGTTATTTAAAAAAGAAATACTTTTGCGGACTACTTTGTGTTGCGTCGGGATGCTCTTCTCGAAGCCACGAACCGTCCCTCAGCCTTCGGGTGCGCTCGGACGGAGGCTGAAACGAAGTATAGTAACCCCCGCCTAAGATTTTTTTTTTTTTTTCAGTTTTGTAAAAAGACAAAATGAAAATATTCTACTAAGGGCAGGCTTAATACTCTTTGTAGCATAGCGTTTTCACCCGCGAGTGTTCTAATTTCTTGTTATGCTAACATTTCGAGTAACGTTTGGCTAAGTACTACTTTTGGGTGGTTGGGTGAATGGCGTGTTGTGGCTTGTTGTGGCTCTGTTTCACGTAACGTGAATTACCTTACCAGTTTTATACTGACCTTTGTTTTGAAATGCCTTTTGAAATGTCCATGCGGGTAACAAACATGTGAGGCTATCTTGATGGGTGTTAGCATTCTTTCTCGATCTTCAATATTGTAGTGGTAGAAAAGGTATCAGGGTTTTCGCAAGAAGCACTCAACAAACATGGCGTGTTAGGTATGGTGGTAATTTATTTTAGATACAGGAATTATAAGAATGGTGAACAGCAAAGGGTATGTACATAAATGCCAACAGAAAATGAGCATGAAAATATAGTTTGTACTCTGTGAACAAAGATGAACTTCTTATGATGCAAAGGTCTTGGCTAATGACAAATTTCATACATAAACCAAGGAATATTTTCACATTCTGTGCAGCTTACAAGCATAGGAGAAGATAGAGACTTGTTCAAGTGGGAGTCTCATTTCCACGGTTGGAATTGACATGTGCACTTCGTGTTCACTTTGTCGAGCCTTGATTGCTGTACCGACTGGATAATATGCAGGCTAGGAGCAAATGACTAATTTTTCACATTGTTTTCTTCTTTTTCTTGTCTATACTGTATCTTAATACTGTCCATTCACCTGTATAGTAGTCAATAAATATATATTTACAATGCCAATAAAGTTTAATTTTATACACTAGTTTAAAATACTGCGACAACTCCTGTTGCATATGAGCCTAGTATTTTTGTCATAAGTTAGTTAAAACATAGCATATTGTTTGTTTTTATTTATCGAACTGAAATTGTAATCAGAAATTAACTTAACTGCGTGAATTTAAAAAAATCGACTTCTTGGTATCACGCGTTAAGGAAGCAATCTCTTTGTTTTTCTGAAATGTCAAAGAGCATATTGCCCACTTATTGTCCAGTTTTACATCAATATCACAAGATTTGCTCTACCTTTGCATATGTCAATGAGAATCCCTGAAAAGGAACATACTTACAGAATAAATAACATCCAGTGTGCGTCTTATACAAAGCTATTTACAGATTTTACAGACTTGTACACTCTTAACAATTCTTGCCGCTGGCATAGTGGCTCAGCATTCGTTCTTAACAATGGTGCAGCAGGCTGTAAGAAGATTCCCATGTACTCCTGAGATTTGAAACCATTATGAATTCTTGCACCTTTGCCCAATTCAATTGCCAAAAAGAGAATCTTCCTTTTTACTTTTCTGAGTTTCTCTATCACTCAGGTGCCTGTCAAGAGGTTAGGTTCACCAAGGTGATGCACACATTACATGTGACAGATCGTCGTGCTTTTTCAGTCGCTTTGTGGCATACTTTGTATTCTATTTGCTGCCTTTTACCCTTAAAGGGCTCTGGCAGTAAAGTTTCTGTCCTGCATCTCAATTTATAACTTGAGACTTTGGGTTTTTGTTTTTTAAGAGACCCTCGAGTCCTTTAACTGTAGTGAGTTCACCGAACATTACTGAATTTAATATTTAGGGTTTTAATGGCTCTCCATTGAAATGATGAATATCAGTACTGCTCAGCTCGGATATAAAGTAAATAAAGCAAGAGAAGCTGTCATTCTATTTTTCAAAATCATTTGTGATCTATCATTTAAATTTTGTTGAAGGCTTACATGGCCCAAATGATAAACTACTGTATTTATCATTTTCACAAGAAATTGCATGCCACCCCTGTATAAAATTTTCACTTAGTATCAGCACTATACCCCGTTTCCCTTTAAGTGTGAGCGTAGCAGAGGCTACGAGAGTGAGCTCCGGGCTTTCAGTGTCCCTGGTAAGCACAGACGCTCCTGCAGTGCAAGCAACGTTCTGGGCTTCATTCTCGCGCTCGTAGCATCGCCTGCGTCTGGACTTAGGCTGAAACAAAATATTTGCTTAGACCTCAGTATTTGTATTCAAGGTCATAATTACAAAACATAGCTTTTGAATTTAATAACTTCACTCTCTGGTGGTAATCTTTCATTTGTAACCTACTGCACATTATGTACACACAAATATAGCAGACGGAGTTTTTTTCCGCTTAGTAGACTCTTAGATCCTGGTGGAAAAAACCTCCAGATGTGTCACCACTGAATCATTCCTTGGACGTTTCACATTTACACATTAGATTGCTCTTTCCACTGCATGCTGCATACTCGGGGCACACCCCAAGGAAGTTTGTGGTCACTGGTTCTTGTGTCGTTGCACACACTTGCAGTCATCGTAGTGTCATTGGAGTCAATTTCTCTTTCTTCTGTACATTCTTGAATATCTCACATAACTGGTTGAACAAGCAACACACAACATAAAGCCTGGATTTCGGGCTTTCAATAGCAACCTTTGATATTTGCTTTTTTCCAAGAAGCTGAAACTGAATACTGAAGAATAACAAAGCCATCTTGAATGTAGCTCTTACTCATGGTTTTTGTCTAACCGACGACTGAACTTGTAAAGTTCTTATTTGAAATTGTAAACTGGGGAGAGCCACACAGGGCCTCAGGCGCGTTTTCGCATTAACAAAGCAAGGGCTGACTGCCACAGTCTGCTGATATGCTGTGGGTGGGACTGCACTGATCTTTCCTGAATTCCAGATTGTGAGCCTGTGCAGGTCCGTTTCAAGCTGAAAAAGCCTCTTCGGATAAGCATCTGCGCTCCACTGTCCAGGCGCTGAGAACAGCTGTGAGGCTTGGGAGTGTTGGCACTTGGCGACATGGCGTTACACTGCCGTTTGTGGGGTCACGAAGGAAAGCGACGATTCACTTTCAGAGGAGCTTGGTGGGGTGTCCAGCACAGGAATTGTGAGGTCCAGGTACTCCTGTATTTTGCAAGAAAACAAGTAACTTTTTTAAGCTGAAAGCTCTTATAAACATTGAAGGTGCCCTGAAAATAATAATTAAAAAAACGAATTGAGAGCAGCGAAGCTTTATATGTTATAATGTACTTGATTTAAAATTTTGTTCATTATTCTATTTTTCCAGCCCAAGCCCAAAAGCAATCGCAGCAAACATTGCAGCAAAGTGGGCTTCACTGCATCCCGCTGATGCCGATGGCACTCCACAGAGGCCCAGTTCCGGAAATTTTTGTGTTATAAAGTTAACTGCATTTGTGTAACTTCAATGTTATTTATTTGACAATTAAATTTAGAATGTAGACTTCCAAGCCATCATCATCAAAAGATACCAAATACGTTATGTTTAAATTTTAATTAAATGCAAGATGATTTTGAGCATTGCAAACATTTACTCGCCCCTCAAAATTAAGGTTGAATGCCTTCTCAGCGATTTGAGTCGTGCACTGCGCATTTTTCACACATATAAAGCTTCTGCATGAAACATATATTTTTTCAATGAATGTACCGCTTGAATTTACCTGATCTGAAGCAGATGTGAGGATTCGGTCGAGATCTTCCACGAGCTCTGTGAAAGTCGGCCGCTGGTACGGAGACTGGTGCCAGCATTCCCGCATGATCATGTACCTGCAGTATGGTGGACATACATATATATACCGTGCACACTACTTTGTCAACATGAAAGCATTGCAGACAGATCTGTCATACTAATTCTGCAACAGACAAACCACTCACACGTCCAGGGAACATCCCTGCGGCTTCTCCATCCTGTGACCATCTCTTAGCAGCTGGAACAGCTTCTCAATGGGGACAGAAGGATACGGTGTACCCCCAAGTGTCATGGTCTCCCAAAGCAGAATGCCGTATGACCAGCTGTTGCAAAAAAGAAAATGTTGCATTTAACTTCGGGTGCACTGCATGGGTTAGAATTTAGAGACTTACACATCACTTTGAGAAGTGTACACCCGATCAAAAAGCGCCTCAGGTGCCATCCATTTGACGGGGAGACGTCCCTGGAATTTTATTTTAATGTTGCAGTTTTCGAGGCAGTTTATATTCTCTCATCTGTTGGACTTGACAATGCCCAGTACTTACATCGGATTTCTTCTTGTAATAGTCAATGTTGTGTAGGTCACGTGCCAGACCAAAATCTGCAATTTTGAGAACCTTGTTCTCGACAACGAGGACGTTCCTCGCAGCCAAATCACGGTGGATGCACTGTAAACAGCACATCATGTAAAACAAAAACGTGATGCCTTACATGTTACAACTAATACTTAAGAGGAAATGTACGTATGATTCTATGCTTGCATACCTTCTTGGAAGCCAGGTATTCCATGCCGCGTGCAACCTGATAGGCAAATGAAACAAGGTCTTTGTGCGTCAAAGTCTTTGGTTTCAAGTCAGCCCCAATGGCTTGCTCGTAACCAGAGCTCGGACGATGGGAGCGCAAAAAGTCGCGCAGGTTCCCATGGGCAGCGTACTCGACAATCACATGAAGGGGTCCTGTGAAGAATTGACACTTATTACAAACTTTTCTTTGTATTTGAATATTTGTTTTAATAGAGAACAAGACGGTAAGCGTTTCTTATCAGTCGTTGCTATTGTCAGCCGCACGAGTTGGATGCCCACTGTTTCGGTGGTGTCCTGACCCTAAGCTGAAGCACTTAACGTATGCTTTCGTGTTGTGCAGCATATAGTATTAGCTTCTTCTGAACTAACTCTGCACGCTAACGTATGCGCCAAATATGTATAGAGGTCAATATATTGACATTTATGAAACCAGGATAATAGATGACGAGGTAATAACCTTGGGACTCGAAAACCATCTGTGCTTGATTTCTGGACACTCAAAATAGGTTCAGCGCCCCTTACAAGCTACACTTTTGCGTACTAGTGGTACTGGTACTTCGCCACTTGCCGGGCTTCATCTAACGAAGCGATCGGCTCTTCGCAGACACTGAGAAATTCACTCAGTGGCTTTATTAATAAAAAGCGGAAATACTAGCTGCATAAAAATAAAGCAGTACTTGCTAGTTTCTATTGTGGCTGCTAAGTTGGTGTTCCTGGCAATGGCAAAAAGCATTGCAAAGCAGCGACAGAACTACACCTATTGTTTTGCAGTTCTGCTGTTTCTGTGCTTTAAATATAAATACTTGCCATCTTGTGTGCAGCAGCCAAGAAGGTTGATAATATTAATGTGTTTTCCAATCGTTTTCATCACTTCCATTTCAGATACCAGGTCAGCCATTTCGCTGTCTGTGTGCCCATCTGAAAAAGGTCAAGTTATGAGTAATGCATTTTATGGACAGATTTATAATAGCACAATATAGCGCTCGTGATTACATCCGAAGGCACAAATGGAGCGTGGCACGCCATGACTATGTGGCCCGCACGAAAACATTGCCTGAGAGGTGGGCGCATGCTGCTGCTTTGAAAAATCAAGGCTCAGATACACTATAATACTTTTTTTTTAAATATTTGTAGCATCCTCCTATATAAAACCCTATGCGAAGTGCCCTCCAAAATCAACAATATTAGCTTCAGAAGGTGGTAAAAGTCATTTTGCACAGCTGATTCCTGTTTGTACTTAGAGGAAACACCTCCCCCCCCCCCCCCCCCCCTCTCGCGTATGCGCACATTTCAACTTTAAAAGCATTTACTTCTGTTTTCGGAATCTTACTTTTTTTATTATTTGGACACTTATATGCAACTAATTCATTTTGGATTGTATACATTGAGTTGCTTAGACAGATGACTGAGGAAGTAATAATTATATATAACTTGTCGGGAGGGTGGTCCTCATCGCTGGATAACCGGGCACGGGAAAGACGGTTATCACAATGCTTCAAAAATTCACGGCCAACGTGGAGCACGAACCCACTTTGACCGTGAACGTGGAACAAACCGCGGGAGAGCAGTAGGGCTCGCTTGGAGCGCCAAAATAATGTAGAGTTCGGTGCGTACTGTTCACCCGCAAGAAAGACCAACGAGGCAAATACCAAGCCACACCTTTATCGTTCAGCTGCCGGCCATCGTGGCTCACGGGCACGTTGCGCGCCGGGCACCGAGCGCGCGTTCTTTTGCGTGGTGATGGGCCACAACGTCCACTAACTATCCATTCCAATAATAATAACTTTGTTTCCATCTAATAATGGGAGGCCCAAAGGAAAAAAAGCTGCAGTAGGCAGCTTTACTGGTCCTCGGGCCCCTTACACTGGTCAGCAGTAAGCATGCGGAAAAATACAGAAAAGGCAACTCTATATTTTCATGTCACAGCTGTGGTTGTACTGTTCAACTTTGCCACTGAAAACTAAATGCATCCAATATGCGAATATATTGATATCAAGTTACTCCTTGAAGATGATGGTAGTGTTTCTCGTTTTTGCGTACAAGTGCTACAGGAAAGCAGCAGTGCAGGGACCTGTGCTCGCACTTGCTTGCTCTTTTGCGCTAATTTCAAACTTCCTGAAAACAAGGCAGCGCGGGTGTTCCGTAAGAATCCTGTGGCAAGAGAAGTGTGCTTATTTCGTGAATTAAACCTTTGAAAAGGTATGTCCGAGGCAGTGCTGCTCTGCTCTTTATTCGCTCTCTCTCGCGTGAGTTGAAACGTGGTGGCGCTAGTGTGCAAATATCCCCCAACCACTTCCGGTTCTGAACTAGACAATGGGTTTCGCAGTACTTGGAGAAACCAAATATACACACTATCTTCTGGAGATAGCCACTTATAGCACTGCCCGACTTAATTAACCCTTATGATAAAGTAATGAGTAAACAGTTAAGAAATATACGTGAACCGGAAGTGTGCCGGGGCTATCCAATAGATGGCGCCACTGAGTTTGTTGAAAACACAAAAAAAGGGAGCGATTACTTCCCTAATCGTGTAGCCGCGTTCCCCCAACCCCTCCGCACCTCACGGTACAGAGCTGTGAAGCGAGGAAGCAGGCTGAATGGCAGCCAAGACGACATACAACATATACTACACCTGTCAGGTATTTCCAGCAGACAGTGAAGTCTGGTACCATCATGCTGAAGAAAGGGAGCAAATACCTTTTAGCATTTTGACCGCAACAACTGTTGGTCCTTCTTTGTCACCGAGTCCGTATGCCTCAGCTTTGATCACTTGACCAAACGCTCCTTCTCCCAAAGGCTTTCCCAAAATGACCCTGGACATTGAGACAGAACATTTTGTTCAGACATGAGCAAATAAAACACTCGATCCTTTGTCAGTCTTTATTATCTTTTGTTTCATACCTTTCTCGGGGAAACTCCCATTCAGGGTCCAGTGGAAGTTCGTATTCACAGACCGTGTTCAACTCTGGGGACATCAAACCTCTCTGGTGGTCAATTTTTACGAGAGGTGCGATGGAAGAGTCCTCATAGTTCCCAGAGTCCTGTTACAAACCAATATTGCACTTTAAGAGCATGCCCAGTATTGTTTTAACTTATTTTTACTGCCAGTAATACAAGCTATCAAAAAGCAGTATCTATTTTAAATGCCACGCAATTTAAATCGAAGACGAACGAATGATACCAATGGGACACGTACAGCACGACTTTGCCTGAAAGTATAAGGCATATAGTAAATTCTTTCCGCAATCAACTTGACCACGCTAACAGGCTATCACTATTGTAAGTGTTAGCTGGTCATACAAACATTTTGGGTGCGTAGCAGTTACACTTGAAAATATAGGATCAAGCAAAAAACGTTATATTTGAGGCAAATATTTTAAGACAGTTCTTACTCAGTCAATCAGAAAATACTCACAGAAACCTGCCTCTCAAGGATCACTTTCTTCCTGATGACCACATTTTGTTTCCGAGCGAGGTCAAGCTTTTTTTGCTGCATCGATAGGAACATGGAACGGCACACAAGTATGGCCGCAAGTACGCCAACAATGCTGAGTCCTAGCAGAATTGCAAGAACAAGAAGCCATGGGTGCTTGAGAATGTTCCAGGCCGTGTTGGTCTGCTCGGGTTGTGGCACTGGAAAAGAGGTGCATGTCATGCTGGGGAAACCTAACTTGTATTGATACATATGTGTGCAGTGCCTTTTTAGACAGAATACATGGCATCGACATTTGTGATTAAGACGATCATTACTTACATGGCTCAACAGTCAAATAGACACTCTTGTTGCTGATGCCTACGCTATTGCCAACCAGGCATGTGTACCAGCCTTCGTCCTCTGTTGTGACATTGTCAATCACTAGGATATGGGGATCAGTAACGTTTGGGTCCGTGCTCTGAGGAAAAATAAAAAGGGTGACATTAGTTTCATGTTTTCATATGCTTAATAGAAACTTTCCCCCCTCTGCGCATTAGTAGGTTGGTACCCAACTACTTACCGACTCCTGCACCCCAATTGACGCAAGAAAGATAGCGGAAGCTTATGAGAATGAGTGTTTTGAAATCTAAGGTTAATAATCTGGCACATCGGTAATTTAGCCACATGTTAGCGTAAAAAGCAAAACAAATTAGTCCCAATTTCGACCTGAATATATGCTTTTCGTGTAAGGCTCGTAAAAAATTAGGCGCTGGAAAAAATCTCCATATTCGTATATCGAACTATTTTTGTTCACTTTCAGCCCACTGAAAAGCACGGCCAAATAGCCCAAGCACGCACCTGATATCGACACCTTCGTCTACTTCCGTCCGTCTCATACGCTCACCGTCACCATGACAACGAAGCATCTTCTGAATTGGCACACACGCGAGCGCAGACGCTGAAGCCAACAACAGCGGACGCCATTTTCTGAATAACGTCTGCTGAAGTAAACGCGGCGGCGCTAGTCAATGCCGAACGCGCCGGTGCGGAGGCGACGCTGAGAGCGGAAAGCGGTCGCTTCGAGAACCCTTGGTGTTTTCGACAAAGGTTGGTACAAGCTCGAGACTGAGATTATGATTTATTTTCCCAGAGCGCAGCGTAGCGAAGCGAGGGTTCTGTTTGGAAGCCTAGCTTGGAACATACAGAAGAGACACCGTCAGCCTGTTACACCGTCGTCGATCCGCAGACGGAACTCAAAAAATGGCTTCGGCTATTGCTGGCTTCAGACCACGGAGTAAAATAGTGTACAATAACGCTTTTATCCTACTTTGGGCGGTCCACAAAAATAGGGTTCTTAAGGCTGGTTCACACTGCCCTGTTTCCTTACGTTAAGTTAAAGAAAGTCACCAAAACATTTGTGTCTCCAATGCCGCGTGTCATGCTTTCTCCTTGAACTGGTAGCATCGCTTAATATGAAGCACGGATGTCCCGGTGACTTGTACGTAAGATTTCGTAACGTAACTTAACGTAAAAAAATGGGCCAGTGTGATCCAGCCTTTAATGTATCACGCTAGGATTTACTACAGAGGTGCCCGAAGGTGGTGAAAGCGTTCACTAAAATTGTGGAAGGATCAGCTCACCTGAGTAAAGCACGAAAAATAAAAAAACTTGGTTTTCAATATACTTCGCATATGCACTTAAATCATATTTTGTGTCACTGGGGCGCTTACGTGGGCCAAAGGAAGCGAAGAATGGGTAAGCCAATTGTATTTTCAATGCGAAAGCAGTAACTGTCTCATGGAGCGAGCCGACGTCATCAGCTTTGAAACCGCGCCAAACGGCACATTAAATCCTTTCTCCAAGCCAAGCCAGCTTCCAGCTATGAAACCACGCGCAAAGCTAGCCAACGGCACCTTTTACACTTCGGTCCCTTTGGCTGGCGCGCGTCGACGGGGCTCCCATTCGCCGGACACGCAGCGCCATAGGGTGACCGGTCGTTGAAACTGACGCTGCGCGTCAGTTTCAACGACTGGCCACCTTATGGCGCTGCGTGTCCATCAGCGCGCTAACACGCGGAGGGGAAGTATGATGTACAAGTTTTCGCATTCGCAACTCATAAGAAGTGCTTAGGTGTCCTCGAGCCTTTTTTCCATTTCACCGATTCTTCAGTCGTAATAAACTGCCAAATAGCCCAGAGCGATTTTTGATTATTTTGACAAAAAAAAATGAGAGCCGTTTACAACTCCCTGTAACACCGAATAGGAGCGCAGCTCTTGAGGAGGAGGAGGGAAGAGTACTGAGGGTTACCTGTTCTCGGGGCGGGGGGGGGGGGGGGGGGGGGTCATGTGACCTTGGGGGATCACGTGACCCCCCAGAAAAAATTTTCCGCTAGATTAAGCGGGGAATTTTTTCCGCTAGAGTTAGCGGGGAAATTTTTCCGCTAGGTTTAACGGGAAAATTTTTCCGCTAGACAGCGGGGAATTTTTTCCGCTAAATCTAGCGGGGAAATTTTTCCGCTAGATTTAGGGCGGAATTCTTTCCGCTAGATTTAGCGGGGAAATTTTTCTGCTAGATTTAGCGGGGCATTTTTCCCGCTAGATTTAGCGGAAAAATTTTTCCGCTACATTTAGCGGAAAAAATTTTCCGCTAGATTTAGCGGAGAAATTTTTCCGCTAGATTTAGCGGGAAAATCTTTCCGCTAGATTTAGCGGGGAATTTTTTTCCGCTAATCTAGCGGGGAGAATTCCGCTAGATTTAGCGGGGAAATTTTTCCGCTAAATCTAGCGGGGAAATTTTTCCACTAGATTTAGCGGGGAAATTTTTCCGCTAGATTTAGCGGGGAAATTTTTTCGCTAGATTTAGCGGGGAATATTTTCCGCTAGATTTAGCGGGGAAAATTTTCCGCTAGATTTAGCGGGGAATTTTTTCCGCTAAATCTAGCGGGGAAAATTTTTCCGCTAGATTTAGCGGGGAAATTTACCCATAATGCACCGCGCGGTTACGCCGACGGCGACGGCGACGGCGACGCCGCTCAAGCCGGAAACGGGCCCCTAAGAGCTGCGCTCTAAAAAGGTTTAGCGATAATTTTTTCATAGGCAAAACCAGTTTCTATTTTCTTTCTTTTGACTCCAAAGGTTTCATGTATTCATGCTGGCAATTAATAATTGCACCACCTTCGGGCACCACTGTAGTAAATCACAGCACGTTTCGTTCCGAAACCGATTTTTGTGGTATCGCGGGAAAGTGGGATCGAAGTGTCAGTGTGCACGAGTATATAAGTGTCAACACTGCGCGCATCGCAGCTGCCAAACAGAGTCCTCTCCATGCGTTGGCTACAAGTGGTGCCAGCAGATGACTCTTCGGCTGATCTGCAGCTGATGGCAGCCTGTCGCGGGCACGGTTTCCCATGCTTCTCTATGGGAGACATGTTTGTTCTGAGAGTCGTTTTCCGGGTGCGCCACGTCATGTAGGACTTGGCACTTGCGCTACGCGTATTTCTTAGACACCGCTTCGTCATTGAATAGTTCCGTTCCTCAACGGCGGCAGTAACATTTTTACGAAGGCCTTGAACCAGAGGTTAAAGCGCGCGCGCCCAAACAAACCTTTTTTTCTCTCTCTTTTTTTTTACGGCATTTATAGGCTTGTCCAAACAGTAATCATGAGGCGACACGACTCCGACATAAGTCGTACGGCAGTTCGCTTCCGTCCGTTCTTTTTGCCGGGGGAAAGATCCCTCCGTCAAATTTCGTCCGTGTCCTCCACGGGAGCCAAGCATGCTCATCACGAGGCTCCGGCCAGCGACTCGCAAGCTCTGTTGGCTGCCGGTCAATCGCTCAAGGCCTCCGCTTCTCTTCGGGTCCCGAAAACGGAAAAGGGAAGGGCTGTATTCGAAATCTTACTCAAACAGATCCGAGCTACTCCCGCGGGTCGTGTCACGTAACAACACAGATAAAGCGACGCTAGACGCGGGTAGGTTTTCGAACGCAAAGGTACAAAATCCTTACCCTGGAGTAGGATCGGGTAAATTTTGGAACACGTCCAAGGACACGAGGGCCCGGCAGAAAAGATGGACAGCGTTGGTCGGTGGCGTGTGACGTCGAGTCTGACGAGCACAGAGGTCACCAATAAGCGGAGGAAGCGAGTAGGGATACTGTGATTTTGGCTCGGTGGTGTTCCAATAGACGTCAGACTGCCGGACGCTTCAACTTTTACGATTTTTGCCAGAGTCGTGTCGCCTCACGATTCCGGTTTGGACATGCCCATAGAAGTTGTCGGCTTAGGCTACTCGGGCGCGTGCCAAGAGACATTATCTGGTCGATCGCGTCGAAGCGTTCACCGTGTTGTCCTCACCTACATGGTACGGCCATGTGGATTAACACATTTGGCACGCCTTGCAAAACTCGAATTCTAAACGTAAATACCTACAATTGGGCACGCGAACGTAGTTCGCAAAAACTTTTGTCTTTTTTTTTTTAGATATCAAGTCAGAGGTGGCAATATATTAAAAAATAAAGCAAAAACGGCGTCCGTGCGTTTCCTATGCCCTATACCGGATTTGCTTCGCGTGCACACTGGTTTGCGAGCTTGCTCCCAAGTGGTCATTGTTCGTGTATTTTGTGAAAAGTATAAATTATTGTTATTATCTTGCTCATCGCCAGCCTCTGTTATTGGTTTTTAGCGTCTTTTCTTTTGCGTTCAGCAAGCCAACCGAGAACGAGCTAATAAACCAGTGTGCTGACGACAAACAGGCTGGTATAGGGCAAAGGAAATGCTTGGCCTCTGAGCTCGCTTGAATTTAATATTACACTACATCAAAATTGAGCCCTAAAAAAAAAAAAAAAAAAAAAAAGACAAAACTTTTGTTGGAACTACGTTCGCGTGCCCAATTTCAGGTATGTACGTTTGGAATTCAAATTTTTGGAAAGCGTGCCAAATTGTGTTAGTCCTTACGGCCGCACCCTGTATATTATATATATCTTGCATCATGCTTCGCACGCTGCGTTCGCGTGTGCGTATCTCCAGCAGACGCCTCGTTTCCATGGTGACGGTGAACATAAGCCGCGTTCGATCTACTTACACCTCCCGCACCAGTGCAGAAAACTGTAGGGCAGTCTACTTCCGATATGTGTATTTAGATACGACCGGAAGTACACTGCCCTACCCTTTTCTGGACCGGAGCAGGAGGTGTAAGTAAATCGAACACGGCTATACTAGATGTACTTTATCCTGTGGAAAGAGATGGCTGTGTGGCCAAATCAGGAGTCTCCTTGAGCTCTTTCGCCGTGCTCTTCAATAGATAGAATGTGGACATAAAGAGTTCAAAATAAGGACTTCATGCAAATGACTGATTTCCTCCAGCGCCTAATATTGTAACGATTCTTACACGAAAAACATACTTTCCTGACAATCTAGCGGCCGTTCTTTTTTTTTTTTTCTGGGAACATGAGGCTAAAGTATCAAACTGCCATTATTTAGGAATGCTGCTTACCTGCACCACCTTAACACGCGGGCTTCTCTCTTCATCATTATGAAAAAACGAACCGTTGATTGCATAATGTTTCAGCCAGCGTATGTGTGGTTGAAGATCACTGATGAAGCGGCATTCAAAGCGTGCCTGTTCTCCAATGTAGACTGTCTGATTCTGGAGATACTTGTCGTAAAAAATCGGTCGATGGGGGATTCGTTCTGCAAGCCATAAGTTTGGATAGGTTACAGCTTCTATCTTCACAAATATGGTAGAAAAAATCGAACTAAGACATTTGAGCCCCAGGTCACCTTTGACTTCTACCAGGTAGGTGTAACTGATGTTTCCCTGGGAGTTGAATACAATGCAGGTATAATTCCCGGCGTCCGACACCATGACGTCATCCATATACAGTTTGTACTTTTTGTAGACAATCTGCACAAATGTTTGAATGCGGTGTAAACATTGCCATCTTTCTTTAATTTGTGGTTTTATTTAAGTATATCAAACCACATACCTGTTTTCTGAGGAGACGTGTTGGAGGCTGGTTGTTCTTAAGCCAAGTGATGTTGGCTGGAGGATTTGCTTTGACAATGCACGGCAACACCAAATTGCTTCCAGCAGGGTTGACAACCAGTTTTGGATTCACCTTCACAAACGACGGGGGCTCTAAAAGAAAGCAGATAAAATCAAATTAGGCCCAATTTTTTCCAGAAATTGTTGTCCCTCCGGCTTACGAGAAAAAAAAAAAAACTGGAATGGAAATGTCCGTCTGAACTTGAAACCCCTCATCTAAGAAAGCAGTGATGTGATTGCTGTGCTATTTCTTCCAACCTTCCATTTTGGCGCACTAAACTTCGTGCTTGAATTTGCCCAAAAAAAAAAAAATCTGTCAATTTTTTTTAAACTCCACAAAATTACTCACCTTGATACAATCTGATACATCTCACCAAAATGAGGGATATGCGCGAGCGCGACACCAAATGTTAATTTGACACCTTGAGTAAAATGACAGAACTTAAAAACATTGAATCCCTACCTACGGTGCTCGCTTGCAAAGCTTGTCATCTGTCTTCGAATGAAAGCTTCAACATTGCCGAGTGAGTTTAGAAACTTTGACGCAGATGAGAGTGAATAGCGACCGAGACGGATATTCCCTGAGCCTCAGGCATTAACCAAGCGGCGCCACCACTAATAAGATATGTAGCGACATCTTCTCTTTCCTCCTCTAGCGCGTACACTTTTTCTCTTTTTTTCTTGCTCTTTTGCACTCGGGCGTCGACGGTGGCGCCGCCTGGATCGCTCGTGGAACGCCATCTGAGCATGCGCTGTAGCTCTGTTGTGCGGTATATCAGACACTGCGCATGCGTCCACAGCTTAGTGCTTAGTGAATGACTCAGCATCCCCCCGTTGTGATAAGTACTGGAAAGGTCTGTCCTTGGTTTCCATTTGAGTCAGAGCGCAGTCAAAAGTTGAAAGGCATGCAAGCATATTCACACAGAGTAAAAGCGCGCTGTCACGGTGTGCTAGTCGCGAAGGATGGGCTCAAAGAAAAACGACGAAATCACGAAAGCCGTGACGTTGCGCATTTGGCGTTGATTGGCGACATGGGCTGTACAACACTAGAGCGTACAACACAAGAGCGCCGTCAGTAGAGCGCCGCGACGTTAGAGTGCGCGACGTTAGTGCGGGTAACTCGAGAGCGCTGCGACGTTAGCGCGCGGCACTCGAGAGCGCGGATGTGACAAACCAAGAAGTGTTACAAAAAGCTTACAGCAGAAAAGAAAGAAAATGAATATCTGTAACGCTTATTTCCGCAGAAAAAAAAAAAGAAAAAAGAAAACAGTGCAGCTGACCTGGCTTCATTAGTTCTTTGATTTTAATTGATAAAGTTCACCACCGACCTCACTAATTTTTATTTTAAATTATTTTAGAACGTTTAAAAGGAAAAAAGCAACATGTAACATGCTTCCCCGGATTCTGGGGTTTTCAAGATCAAGTTCGGGAAAGAAGCTCTCGTGCCAAGTGTTATACGCCAATCATTCATAATCTCCACAAATGTCATTTGTACTAAACAAATGTGTGTGCGCTGAAAGCGCGCTGAATGTATTCGAGTAAAGCATTTGGGCTTTGATTCTTTCGAGGGTGCGTGTAGTGCCTTGAGTCCTCAGTGCTCTTCTGGAGAGCCTAGATTGTAGAGAGGGTCTATCTAAAACCATGGGGAGCGTTGGCAATTGAATGCTGGGCGCCTCCTGCGGAGATTGGTCGCAAGCGCGCATGCGCTCATTTTTTGCGTGTCTAGAAGGGAAGCAGACGGAAAGCCGGAGACGGTAGCAGACGATCAACGCTTTTGGAGCTTCCTCGCAGCTCGTACTGCAAACGCGGCTCATAAATCCCGTGACCTCAATCGAGAAGTTGGAAACTCTCTGTTTCCAGGTTTTATGCTCTTGGATTGCGAGGAGCCCCTAGCGGTAACCGAAGTAATCACGAGGGAAGGTTTATCGCACCCTACAATCTATGTATTGGCTGCTATATTAAGTCGCGACGTCGTGCGCCCACTGCGCCGTTGATGCGTTATGAAACCGCCACGTGAAATCGTGAGCACGTGGGGAGCTGCACTTCGTCATTCGGGAGCCCGCAGCGCGGGCCGTAGTTCGCTTGTTCTCGCAGGGTCCCTTAGGTCGTACTTGGTCATGCTGTTCGCGCTCTCTTTCTCTTCCTTTCGTGGCGCCGAGCAAAGGCGTCGAACTTCGAATTGCACGGTTATGGTCCCGATTCCCCCTGAGCCAATTGGTGAATTGCAAACAGTCGCCTGCGGTATACCTCGCGACTGTCCGCAGCGAGTGGTACTTAGTCTAGCATACTCAGTACTGAAGTAACCATCGGTGGCGAGTTTTACTCAGTTCAGCATACTAGTCTGTAGACGACCTTCGGCGGCGAATCATACTCAGTCTAGCATACTTAGTCCGCAAATGACCGCGTCGTCGGCGAGCCGTACTGAATCCTGCATACTTGTACCGCAGGCGACCGGCGGGGACGGACTCCAGCTTAGTCCACATTCCAGCATAGCTAGTCCGCAGGCGATCGTCGGTGGCGAGTTATACATAGTCCAGCATTCTCACTCTGCGGGCGACTGTCGGCGCACAGCTGGCTACCGAATCACAAAGCGTAGCTCCTCACCTGTACTCACAACATCACGGGGTGGATCAAACGTACCAAGGGATAGTGCAGCGGGCGTATGACGTCCCAACTTCAGCCAGCAGTCAATAAATAGCGTAAAGGAAGCGATAAACCTCCCCCCCTCACGATTACTTTAGTGACCAAAAAGGGTCCCTTGCAATCTATTAGCACTAGGAATTCAAGACCCTATCACTCACTCACAAAATAAGCAGGGAACCCATATAAAAATACTTCTTGTAACGCCTTGCTCCTGACACGCTCCACTTGTCTTGATCATTCGGATGAACCCGGGGAACACAAGAGCGTGCCTTGTGGGCAGCGCATTCAAAACCCACCAAAGCCCCCCACATCCAAGCGTATGGGATAAATTGATCATAACGCACGCATAATTCGCGCACGACACATTGTGTGTCCCCAGGGTTTATCAGAATGATCGAGATAAGTTTTACTCTTGTTGTAACCCGCACCTATTAATTATGCAAGAATGCATGTTGGGCGGCAATCACCTGATAAGCTGTGTGCGTCATTGTTGGTGATTTGTTTTTCATATCTGAGATTTGAGAAAGAATATTTGGGTAGCGAGAAAGGTTTCCTGAATCCCCTGGATTGGATGTTGCTGGGCTGCACTTTAGGTTTAATTTTTAAGGCGAATTTCCTGTTTATTTCCAACTATTACGTAAGCCTGTGACTGTTCAAGAGCAGTCAATAAATAAGAGGTATAATTAAAATAAAGTGAGCATTGGCAATCGAACAAATGGAAGCCTTTGAATAAACGTAAAGAGTTCAGCTGGGGTTTTTATTTAGGAATGCATGCATGTTCGTCACCCGCACGCTTAATTTATGTTTTTATAAAACTGTATCCATGCAAAATGCCACTAATGTGCATAATATAATGGCTAACGTTTTGTTTTCTAATTGTATTAAGAGTTGCTCAATTTAATCGTTCTTTAGTAATTTTAACATAAAATTGAATTTGAAACTCAGCGTTATTTCAGTGAAACAGTATTTGGTTCCCTAACTAATATTGCCGCTCACACCTTTTCATGTTATGTCCCTCGTCAATCTTCATGTGTTTTGAAAAATGATGCTACCATGCGGCTTTTTCAAAACGGACGGTCCTGGTCACAGTATTCTTGTCGGTTAGGTCAAAGGGTCTAACGCAAAACATGCAGTGGAATGAATGAAAGTTAAAATTTTGCTGGTTCTTAAAGGGTTCACTTTGCAGTTCCAAAGGGTGCTTCAAAATTACTCGGATTAATCACATAAGTAAAAATGCTTCAAAGGAAAGAGGAAAGTTTGTGCAAGGTTTCCGGAGAATGCGGCGCGCACTAGAATATAGAATGTACCACTTTGTAAACGGGTACACACAAACATGAAAGAACCAAAAAGATCAATTTGTGCATGCCTCCATTCTTTTTTTTTTTCTTTGCGCTTGTGTGTTAGTTTTGGGTTTATAGATGGCGAACCACTTTATGCTTGATTTCGCGTCTTTCATGTTGGAGAACCGTAGCAGCGAGGGAGCGCTCACCTAATTTCGATGGCACTTGGTAGCTCTCCTCATCGGAGGGCTCAGTACTTTCCGTCATATTGTCGACGTGGAGGAAATTCTTGAGATCACTCTCTTGGTCTCTTGGTGGGACGTCTTTAAAAGAAAATAATAAGAGAAATATCGCTTTAGTAATACGCCGAACGCCATATAAAAAGTAAAACATACCAATTCGCACCGTGAAGTTTTTCCAGATCGCTCCATAATCGTTGTACGCTTTACAGAAGTAGAGGCCTCCGTCCTGGGGTTGCACGTTGTGTATGACCATTGTTGTCTTCGCGAGTTTGATGTTTTCCCTTGGGCTTGACAGGAGGTCCTCTCCGTGGTACCACACAAGGAAAGGCTTGGGCTCTCCGTGCGCCGGGCACCTCAGCCTCACAGTGTCGCCTGCAGCGACCTCGTAGATGGTCAGCTTGTCTCCATCCTTCTTGAACACCGGTGGCTCTGTGGGCAAAGGAATTCGATACGATGTTTCTTTTTTATATGATATTTCCATAGAGGGGGAGGGGGGGGGGGGCTGTATGGCTATATAATTCCTTTCAGAAGGAATTTCTCTTTCCTCACGGAGGAACTGCTTTTCTCCGGAACAGTTCCTCACAAAGGAACTGCCCGCTGACGCGGACGAGGCCCGTGGAAAACGTCCCATGTGTTTGGGCCTTAAAGGAACAGTGACAGGGTATTTGTGCTCGTTAAGGTTTTTATTTGAAGATGACATATGAGAGCCCAACTACCCAGACAACAATTTACGGCTCGAAATTCGTTTTCTTTCCGACCCGAAAACTGCCAATGGAGAACTGGCCGTTTTGAGTCGCGCTCACTCTCTTTTCCGGGGTCACGAACCGTTTTCTATGGTTTAGTCACAACTACCAAAGATATTCAGATTCGTGGGTCATCGAAGCCATACACTCAATTCTAAAATAGACAAAATAAGAGACCTATTTTTTGCGGCTTCTAAAACGTTGCAAATACGTTGACTGAAAAAAAAAAAAAAAAGCGACACAACCGCGTGATTTCCGGCACCTTTATCCTCCTCTATATTTCTTCTTCCTCCCCAGTTCAGTTTCGGTATCGGTTTTGAGCAGTTGCGTTTTTTTTTTTGTTTTTTTTTTTTTTTTTTTTTTTACCTTATTAAACATGTTCGTGACGCTGTAACAAAATATTGACTCGGTAGTCTTCTGACACCATAATGAATCGCCTGGCAAAAAAAAAAAAAAAAAAAAAACACTTTTGGGGGGATGGCAGTGTCCCTTTGAGGTAAGAATATTTAAGCGACTTTAGATTTAGACGTTTGGGAAACAAAAAACAACTTTTAAATTGCAATGTTGACATTTTCCGTACGTGAGGGTTCGCCCTCAAGTGCCCTCCTATATACGCGTCAAGAAACACGAAGAGCAATGGCTTCAGTTTCGAAGCGACGCCAATGCTGCCAGCAAGCGATGTGTGAAACTTTCTATTACCACCAATTTTCCGTCTAGCGCCTTGCAAAAGGGAACACAAAAAGCGTTACCTCATATCGGATCATCATCCCCGATATGAAACGTCGCGTGCTGCGCAATGCGGCATTGCTGCCTCTTCGGTTCAAGCCATCTTGGCTCCCGCACGTCGTAATCCCCGGCTGAAAAGGGCCCGTCAAATATTCGGCGAACCCGGCGCTACTCCTGGTAGTCCTCGGGGATTTATGTCGTGCCAAACGCGCCGGTCCCCGGCCTCGAGAGAGAAGCCGTTTCGACGGCTTTTCTCGGGCCGCTTCGAGGTTAATTTTGGCCACTGGGCGGGCAAGCCAAAGCGGATTACTTTTACGCGGGTGCCCGCTCCTGGCTGTCGTGTCGCCTGTCCGCCTGTCTGGGACTACCGCGCCTCGCCCGTCCCGAGTTACCCGCGCGCGTCCATCGCCTTAGAAAACACGTGTACGGTGAGACAAGCGTCGGCGGGTAAGAGATGCGAGGCGAGATCGCGTTTTCAGTATGGCCCGACGCTGATTACTTTCTGCTTAGTCAGTCTGAAGGAAGCCCGTAAATACATTCACAAAAAAAAAATATATTGCGAAGCGCGAGCTGTTCGACAAAATTTAACGCTGCTTGCGTTTTTTGCAGAGGGGGTGTGAACGCCACAGTTAACACCTGCCACGGCCGACTGGGTCTGGGTGTCGTTACCAGTCCAAACACGTGGAAGACAGGGACGGAGATAGACGTGAGCATGTAAGGTCACACTCACGCTTAAAAGGACACTCAACCTAAAAAACGAAATTTAAGCGACTCAAAGATTGTCATAAAAAAAAATTATACGTGTAAAAAGAAAAAAAAGAAAACAACTTAATATTTACGCCGCGCGACATATATTGTGTGTTAGTCAACTATAGCGTCTATACGGCATCACATTGCAGGGAGTAAAGAGTGATGCCCACTCATTGGTGAGGAATTGAGAGAAAGGAGTGAGCAAGTTAACTGCGCTGTCAGCGCCGCAGCGCCTATACTATATATATATATATATATATATATATATATATATATATATATATATATATATATATATATATATATATATATATATATATATATATATATATATATATATATATATATATATATAGTGTAGGCGTAGAAGAGCTCTTAGGGGTTCTTTTAACCTTCTTTTTTGATGCCAAAGAGTTCTTCATCGCCCAGTTGTCTTTTTAGTGCGCCAGGGAGCAATAGTGCTAGAGGCGAAACCTTTCTTCACGAGCTGAAAGAGTTTTTGGGGCGTCGAAGAGCCTTTCAAGAACGCACTTCTTGTAGCGTGCAGGTTCGCTTACCTTGCGCCGCTGTCAGGTAAAACAACCCGAGGAATGCTAGTGTCCTGGAGTGCCGCATGTTCCACTTGAGCATGACCTCTTTTACCTGGTCATGCCCGCTGCGCCTAGAAAAGAAAAAAGAAAACATTAGACGAAATTACTGTATCAATATTCTTTAGGTCTCTACAATTAATGCACTGTTCCAAAAACAAAACTAGAGTGCTCCCACAGGGGTGCGCTTCCCTGCAGAGCCCGGTCTGTGGAAACCCTTGCGCTGCCGGGAAACCGAGCCCGAGTGCAGGCCGGTTCTCAAATGCAGCGGTGCGCTGATGTAGCGCTGCTCACGTGTCGTCCGCTACTTATTGTCTTCCATGAGAAATAGTTTTGACGGTGCGATACAAAGCTGGTGAACGCTCCCGTCAACACGAGCTTAGCGCGAGGTCAGCGCTATGCTTGTAGCGCTCCGCTGCCTGTGTGAACGGGCCTTACTAGGGCCTTACCTGTTCGCTGGTATGGTTCCCGATTTTGACGTGTATTGGGAAGGAGAACCAACCGTCGCGCCCCTAGTGACTAAATTGAGAACCACACCGATAGGGGAAAAAGAACTGCATGCATTTTCTGTTTGTGTTATGGCGCTGCGCTCGACCACGGTGGAAGAATATGTTTCTTCCACCGTGTGCTCGACCCAGCTAGCCGAACGTTTCGGCAGCGGTCAGCTGGGACTTGTGTTCAATCAGTGAAGCCGAACCTGGACGCAAAGAAAATTGGGCACGAGTAGTGTCCAATTTTTGCCCCGCGCTCAGTCGAGAAAGATAAAGAATACAGTGCAGGTTGCTTGTCTTGGTAAGCACATAACTCGAGTGGGCTGAAGCGCACACCCAGCTCGACGCGCGTGGAGCGAAAGCTCGCGCTGCAGAACCCAGGGATCCTGGGTTCGAGCCCCACCCCTGCCCGTTTCGATCTGGATGAGCATCGTACCGGCGTGCGGTCGTGTATCACTACTGCGTGAGCACGTTAAAGACCCCAGGTTAGCGGTCGTACTGCACTGGCAAAATTGCTCATCTACAGTGTAAACCAGTGTCGCCTCATCCTGGCAGACCAACCTTACACTGTATAAACACTAAACGTCCAATTTGACTTTTTGACTTTGGGAATATAATTGGGGTTGTTCGGATGTTTATGCAGCGTGTAGTTGGTCAGCAGTTTCGAAGTGGCGACGAGTCTCTGAGCTGAAGATGAGCAATTCAGTCAGTGCAGTACAATCGCTAGCCTGGGCTCTTTAACGTGCACCACGCAGTAGTCATACACGACCGCACGCCGGTACGATGCTCATCCAGATCGAAACGGGCAGGCGTGGGAATCGACCTATTGCGATTCCAAGTAAATAACCAAAATAAAGCGTTGACGACCGCTCGTGCAAGATGCCATTTGTTTTAGATATTTGCTTTAGAAAAGTAACCATTGCTAATGCCAGAACGTGCGGCGTGTGGAAAATCAATCCCTGCATTCTCGTTGATTCTTGGGTAATATAGCAATAGTTCTATTGAACTCATGATCCCTGGGTTCTTCAGCGCGAGCTTTTGCTCCACGTGCTCCGAGCTGGTGTGCGCTAGCCCACTCGGCCACCGATTTTTTTTCTTTATTTCCTGTTGGATACACGACACAGATGCACTCAAACACTACACTTCTCTCTTACATAGACCAGTCGCCATTTGCAAGTATATCAGGCTCTAAATTGGTTTCAAATCAGCAAGTTTGTCTATACACATACGGCCATTTTGGCGGTTCGCTCTGCGACTTTATAACTTCTCATAAATAACACACGCTCTCAATAAAGTAGTCTCTGACCGGTCGAGCGTACAAATCGGCATGTCGAACAGTCATCCTGGACCTCCACATACTGTGGAAACTCGGCATCATAAACATGTCGTAGGGCACGCCCTCCTCGTTATCTGTCGTGAGGAAACGTATGCCGAGAGCTGTTATTGGCATTCGTTTTTTTAAAGTACGCTGTAGAATATCCCAATGAAATACTGCGTCCTAGCAATCTAGAAATATATGGGCTATAGCTTCTGGCTTTTTGCATAAGACGCAACCAATTGAACAGGGCACAAAACTGTCTCTTTCTTGCAGCCAGGGTTTCACAGGGAGTGTATCACTTTGGAGTTGAAAAAATAATGATTTGACAGGTTACACCGGCATCTGCTTGACTCTTTTTAAAACATCTCTTCCCGTGTCTACAGCAAACAGAAAGCGATACAAGGGTACCGGAAACACTAAATCTATTAAGTCTTTATACAAACACCTCCTTGGAGCCTCACTTAAATATGCCATGGAGAATCGCACTTTCAAAAACCGGAAGGCGTGCACCACTTCATACAGAAAACCACGAACTCTCGAAAACTTTACATCAGCAGAAGGGACAAAAAAATCAGGCAGTGCGTCTCGCAGTTAATTTGAAGTACAGTTCGCACCAAAGGTTCCTTCTGATCCCTCAGAAAAACAAATCTGGATACCACCTGACGGAGAAACAAGTGAGGTAAACCAAGTCCACCACTTTGGACGGCACGTGACAAATTTGTACGGCTCATGCGTTCCCATCCCGAGCCCCATACAAAGACCGCAAACACTCTATGCAACTTCTGGATGCTGGCCCTCGTCATCCACACCATCTGGGAGACGTACCAAATTTTCGCGACAATAAACATACTAAAAAACTGTTGAACGGCCAAACATTGACAGGTCACATCCCTCCCCCTTTAATCTTTTTGCTCGGGTCTGTTCGATTTCCTCCCAGTAATCCGCGGTGTCTCGGTAGTGCTCTAGTGCACCCCCCCCCCCCCCCCCCACACACACACACACACGCACACCCACACTCGGCCACCGATCCCCTTAACTCTGGGGATAACAAGCTGCACGTAGCGCACCCCGTAGTTCGATCTCCTCGCCAACAACATGGCAAGTATACCTCGAAGTTTGTAGATAAACGTATGCAGGTGGTGATCTCTGCTGTTTTAGTATAGCGTTGCTGGATCTTGCGTACGCAATACGCAATAGTATAGCGTACGCTAAAAATGACCTGCTCGGACCGAATTTAGTTGTGCGTTACGTTTTCGAGTGAACACCGCACATGAATCCCGCGTTCTTATAGCGCAACCATGCTCCTGGAAAGAAATATCGAAAAAGAAAAAGTGTCCAATCATTTTATTTCAGATTAAACCAAGCCACAGCTCCCTCGTCAAGCGCGCTTTTCTGCGGGGTACAGAGGCTACGAGTACGAGTGCGTAGCCAAATTCGATCACGGAGCCTCCGTCAGTCGTCCCGTGGGAACGGCACCTTTTATCAATGCTATCGCGGAATGAAATTCATGACCCTGATGTCCAGTGCATAGCGAGAACTTCGGCGATTTCTTTTAGAGTCCGTCCGTCGGCGATGAACTGTGGGAATAGGCTTAGCGTTGAGCAGATCGCAGCGTCGACGCACACTGCGAGCGGCGAACATTTCCACTGTGCACTCCTTCAGCTGCAGGGCGATCTGATTCGACCGCGGTAGGTCCCAGAAAGAATCGCCGAGCTGAACACCACGCAATTTCACGTAACACAGAACTTCGAAAACACCACGTCGCCCTTGCTGCGCCAGTCGAGGCAACCGCCATCTTGAAACTGGCGCTCTCGTTGGGTCCGAGATCTCTCGAGAGCGTCCCGCAAGGCCCGCTAGCCAGCAACGCAAAATCAACAGCGTTGCGTGCGTACGCAATACGTTAGCCCTTCTATTGCGTTCTGCGCATGCGCACTCACGACCCGCAATCTCCTTGCGTACGCAAAGCTATAGCGTACGGTCCACTAAAACTGTCTAATGATTTTACTTGGCAAGCTCGCAAACTGCGAAGTTAGCAACAAGCACGCGTGTGCATCCTGGACGCATATCTTGTGTTCTTTAGACGACAGGACGCACCGAAATGACATTGCAGAGTCGTGTAACCTGCTAATCGTGCATTCAGAACGCCACACCACACCTTTGCCAGACGGAGCCATATTTACACCAACCCGAGGGCTAGGAGGCAGAGGAATTGCCCCGCGTCACACCGAAATAAACAAACGCGACTGGTCGAAACATAAGAAAATAAAGAGCAGCGGCTGCAGCCTTGATGGGCCGCTGCGTGAGCGCTTAGGACGCGCCGCTGGCTTGGGGGGATTAGGGTGGACGGTGAACCAGCGCGCCTCCCGTACCGCCACTCAGCCGCTGACTGGCGAAAGCTTTCCCGGCCCGTCGTCCTGTCTGCCAGCGGGGAACGTCGTCAGCGCGACCGGAGCATCCATCGGCCGAGCGAGATGCTGCGGGGGCGCAGCACTTCTTATTTTGGAATGCGTCGAGTGGATAAGGAGCCAGGGCGACAGCTCGCGCCGGGTGACGGAGGTGAGGGGACGCACGACGACGCGGAGACTCCGACGAGACAGCGATGTCGCGGTCAAAGCAGGGTTGCCAAACCGAACGTGCGTAAGGCCCCGGGGATTGTTTTTCGGAGTGTCTGTATGTCTACGTGTCTTGGGGAGCTCTACTGTGGAGCTGTCTCAAGAGCTCTCCGCTTTGGAGCGCATGCTGTTTTTCTGTTATAGGAGGGAAGATTGAGGTTTCTCGTATTGGAACACGGGAACGCCACTTCTCTGCCCCCATTTATCGGAGGCACGGAACGAGGCGGGTCTCTCAATTGGGTCTGGGAATGAAGCTGAATTGGGCGTCGTTGCTGCTCGGGCATCGTGTTCTCTCGATCGGATCGTGGCATCGGGCTCTAGCAAAGGGAACAGTCAGTTTGTTACCCACGTAGAATGGAGTTATAGCGTAATGTTGTTAAAGAACATAGGTGCGTCCTACCTGTGGCACAAACTGCTGATTCTGACGCGCGTAGAAGTATTGATTATTCTGCAGTTGAAGTTATTGCGTATTGGGGTCTCTAAAGAAAACAAAAATTGCATATTTGATGATAATCTTCCGCGTCTGAACGCACTGTTTCTTAAAGACATTATTTAAAAAAATGTCCGACGTACGTGCGTATTATCTTAAGAGATGTGTACACTCTAAAAAAAGCCCGTGAGTCTGCTTTCCCGGACAACACTCGGAGAGCCAA